TCTGGGGGAGCTGATTGAAGCTTGATTTTTCCTCTTCTGAATTTGCCTGGGTGATAGGGATGCAGTAGCTAACTGTGAATGCCACTGAGTCACATAAGAAAGGAGAGAGTCTGTGGAATACACCATTAGTTCCTTTCAGTCTAATTTCATTGAACTTTTACACATCTGGATCATTAAGCAAGCATTGCATTCTCTGCATGCTCCTCACGTGATTTCTATGAGGCTGTTCCAAATATCATTTAAGAACTCACAGAGACTGCAGACCAGGAATCAAAGCTACATTTGGCTATGAGGTTTCTCATGGGCAAAGTAAAAGGTTGAGAGCTGAACCAGAGAGTCTTCTGATATAGGGGAAGAATTAGAACTTTATTGCTTCTTGGAACTCCAAAAAATAAAACATGTACAAACAAATGCAGCCTGGTGTGCCTGGTCCTTCTTGCTAGAGGTGAGTGCAAATATGGTCATCAGGGGGAAAATAAACCAAATTAAGAGCCGTGCTAGAGTTGGCAGCTTGAACCATCTTCAAATATCAGAGAGGAATAATAAGGCCAGGCTAAAATCCAGATGTGTTAATTACCAATCTTGCCCGAATTGTTGTATAAGACATATATGTTTATCTGGCTGAGTTCCTTATTCGAATGTCACGGCCAAATGCTAAAATAATGTGTCCATTTCTGGCTGCGCTTTTCCGCTTTGCTTTTATTACTGCTTTGATGATGTTCAGAGCTTTCATGAGGCCAGGATTTGATCATGTGGTAGAAGATTAGTGTTAATTCTCAAACTTCAGGGGCTTTGTTTGCCACCTGCCACCTGCACTGGGAGCACCACAGGGTTGCAGGGAGACATAGGATTGAGGTTGTGGTTGTGGCTGCTGCTGTTATGGTTACAACTCAGAACAAACGGAGCAAGGGTTCTTATGTTCATGTCCAAGATGCCAGTACAAAATAGCACGTTGTCTATTTCTGATCCAGAAGGTGGGTCCATCTAAATCCCACCCCCCAAACATGAAGTTTTACTCTGTTAGATAGATGATAATAGATAGATAGATGATTGATAGATAGATAGATAGATAGATAGATAGATAGATAGATAGATAGATAGATAGACTGGGCAAGATAGCACATGCCTTTAATCCCATCCATCAGGAGGCAGAAGCAGTGGATCTCTGTGAGTTCAAGGCCAACATGTCTCCATAGCAAGTTCCAGGTCAATTGGGGCTACAGGGAGGCCCTGTCTCAAAAACAAAACAAAATATACAATATACATATTATTTGCTTTTATATTGTTTGTGTATTTTTATTTGCATTATTCATATACATACTGGAAGGGGAAAATAGGTAAAACATAATATACTTGATTTATTATTTGGTTGTCTTCCTATGTATTTGTGACGGTCTGAGAATTGTTAAATTGAAAATTAAATGATTCAAGAATAAGCAGTCTGGTTTGCAAACAAAAAAGAAACATATCACAAGGAGGACCGTAAAAATAATTGAAATCTCATTATAATGTTTTGGTGTCTGTTCTCCATAAAATAATCCTGTAATTGTCTACTGTGTGACAGCCCGAGTCACTCAACCAAAGGAATGATTAATGAAAAAGGCAGTGAAGGATCTGTCACACTGACACAAAGCAAGGAAGTGTGTGATAGTCATTAGAAACGGAAGAATGGGATAAACATCCTTACTGTTTGGTTAGCAGATGTGGGTTGGATATTGACGAGGGTTTTGGAAGTGATTGTAGAATTACCCATCTCACTTTCCTGTTTGTCATGAGTGGTCAATTTAGCAAGTATGGTGTGGATAAAAACAGGTCCCGGCACCCGACCAGAGATCCACATGGCATCCCTTGACCATTGATTGAAACTCATTTTGCTAGAATTAAGAGCCATGGAGGCAGTCAAGCCTGGTGAGAACTCTAGCTAGGTATGAGAATAAAATGTACAGATGCTTGTTTTCATCATTGCAAAATATAGCAAAATGAGGTTTATTATGAATGGACTCAGATTAAAGTAGGTGAAACAGCTTGGTTCATAAAACTCAAAAACCTGAGTGGTATTAAAAATATAGGCTTATTCGTAATTTCTCGCTCAGTTATATCCTCCATGCATGAAGGTTGTGATGGAAGGTACCAGATGCTGGATACTTTAGGCTGAATTTGCCTTCATTAACTATGTAGCAGTTTAAGGGATGTGTCCTCCCATGTCAGAAAGAATGAAGGGTTTTATAACTTAGTCTAACAAGAATACAACCAGAGAGATAGTATCACTGAAATATATACTTTTTAGCATTTGTGCCAATTTCCATAGCAGAAAAAAAATCAGAAATAATATGAGATAAGTCACTTATGCATCAGCTGTGCTTGTGTGGACATATTTTGCACTGGGCAGTGTGGACATCATGGTATTCATGAAATCAGCTTCCTTGTGTCATAAGAAGTATTTTTTCTAAGGATATATTTTGTGCCTTATTCATCTTTGTCTCCCCAAGTCCATGCACAATGCCCTTGACAGAAGAGTTGCCCGATTAAGTCATTATTGATGAAAGACTGTATGGCACATTTTTTAAAACCAGAGAAATGATTACTTTTTGTCACTTTACAGGAATTTATTTGATAAATGTTCGCTTACATGATAATATTACACTTATCCAGCAAAACAAATTTCAGACATATAAGCATATCTTTATATTACCACGAGGAAACTGAAACATATTCATAAATATAATGCTTAAAGTGCTTTGATTTAACACGTTTACCCCAGTAATTGATTTTGTACAGAAGGCCACATCCATGAGACCTCATATAAGTTATGTGAATAACAAATGGTGCTTTTATTATTAACTTGGAAGGAGTTTGGATTTTTGCACGAGGTCAGTCCTGGTGTGATTCTGACTCTACTAACCTCTTTGCGTCCTGATGTCCTGTTTTGAAGTGTGAACTGCAGTAGCTCCAACATGTGGTTATGGTGTGGATTAAGTGAGAAATTTTAGAGGTTCCTAATCCTTGAACCTTTGGGGAGCTCTGGGGATGTTGTGGAATCTGTGGATTCTATAGATACTTTCAAAAGGTGTCTAGTCTATTATGGACACACACACATTGCTTTTTTTCCAAATGTACATGGATTCATCCATTTCACAGCTGTTTATTGAGCACTGACAAACATCAGGCACAGTGGTCACAAATAACCAAAGTAGATGCTTATTCCCATGTTCAAGTATCTTCCAGTATCAGAGAGAGAATAATAATGCAAAAAGATGAGCAGGCAGAAGTTTGTTGAGGAGAGATGAGGATTAAAGGCAAAGGCAAGGACATAAATCAGAACAGCAAGAATATTAAAATTTTAGGTAGGTGGCCAGAGAAGGCATCTCTCAGATGGCCTCTCTTAAGGAAATGTGAGACTGAATGATCAGTTACTTGGGAGAAAGAATTCCAGGAGAAAGGAGCAACTAGCACAAAGGCCCTGGTGCATGCAGGGAACATTCTGGAACCCAGTGGGGCTAGAGAGGAATGAGCAAGAACATAGCATGGCATGAGGTTAGTGAAGGGAGTGGATCGCATTAGCCTTTATACCTCAGATAAAGCCCTTTGCTTTAACTTCCATTCACTACGATGGAAAGATGTGAGCAGAAGACTGGCATAGTCTGGTTTATAGTTTAGCGGTACCACTGTCTTGGAAGTAGACTGGGGCTAAGAGCCAAAGGAGTACTGTACTGTGGACACATCTTGACATAAGAGGTAGAACTGACGAACCTGGATGATGAAATGTCAGGGGTGAAAAAGAAATACAAAGAATGGCACTGAGATATTTGGCCTGCGCATTCAGAACTGCGTTAACACGAATGGCATGAGATGTTAGAACAAGACTTGGGTTTGGCAGCTTCATTCTGAATCTAGGAAGTTTAGTGTTAGATAGACAGCAGGAAAAATCAAGAAGACAACGTTCAGTGAAAATAATACAAAACTCCTTTTTCAGATGTTTCTGAGCAGGCTGGCAAGATGGCTCAGTATAGGTAAAGGTGCTTCCCACCAAACCTGATGACCCGAGTTCGATCCCTGGGATGCATGTGGTGGGAGGAGTGAGTTGACGCCTGCAGATTGCCCTCTGTCACCCACATGCTCACATACATACACATATAAAGAAATAAATGCAATAAAAGTTTTAAAATATTCCTGAGCCAATAGTAACATTTTTCCAACATAGTCTAAAAGTGGAACTACTGTGTATTAGGGGAAAATTGTCTGCAAAGCAATTTGACCTTGAAAAAGGATCCTACGCTAGAAAACATTGGATATAAATAAGCGTGAGAATTTTGTGGTCATTAAGTATTATTTTGCTTGCCTTTCTCTTATTCCTTTAATATGGGCTCATCTTAAATTTGCATCATTACACAGATTTTTAGGAACTGGGTTTACGAGCTGGAGAGATGTTTTAGTGGTTAAGTGGTTAAGAGCACTGGCTGCTCTTATAGAGGACCTGGATTCAATTCCCATGACCCACATGGCAGCTAACAGCCATCTGTCACTCCAGTTCCAGGGGAATTCAATGCCCTCTTCTGATACCTGTGGGCATTGCATGACACGGGTACACTCACACACACACGCAGGCAATACACTCATATGCGTAAAATAAATGAAAATAATAAATAAAAATTAAAAACAGGTTTAGACTTGATATTTATTTGAGTAAAACATGGAACAGAAGGTTCTGGTGAAAAGCACAGTAGGTGAGTACCTCAAACATGTCATTGTATTTTGGAAGGACACTAGAATGTTCACTCTTTACATGATATTTATTTGTTTGCACCTAACTGTGATTTTTGTGTCTTGTGGGATGTATGATACAAAAACAGAAGAGGGAGGCAAAGCCTTTGTCACTGTACAATTTACAACCTCAGTTGAAGGAAGGGATGGAAAATTTAGGTTATTGTTAATTACCTTAAGCACATATAGTTGTACCGGCATCACCCTGTGACTGCAACTTCAGTATCTGTCCTTCTCAGTCTTATGCAGGGAAATACGTGCCAGCCATAGCGCACTACATTCACTCTCTGAACCCTGTGAGGCAGTTCAAGATCCACCTGAAAGGAATTGCCATCGGAGACGGATACTTTGACCCTGAATCGGTTGGTGTCTTAGTTTTTCTTAACTTGTCCCTTACAGAGATTAAATCCCTTTTAACTGGATGCACAGTGCCTCTTACATCAGAGACCTAACTTGTTAAAGGACAATACCAGTTGACTTTAAAACATAAATCTAATTTTTACCAAACTTTTCAATGTGTCAACTATTTCAGCCTATGTTGTGTGTCAGTGCCAGTGTGTGCGCTGTGTAGTGCGTGGGTACTGTGTACACTTTCTGTTGTATGCATGTGTCTGTGTGTTTTATGATGGTGTGTATATAGTTCTCTGACTTGGCTAGCATTTCTTCATGAAGCAAAGAGGGCCCTGGTCCTCTCTTCTTCTCTCTCTGACCTTCCTGTGTGTCTCTTCTGTCCTCAGATGATAGGAGGCTACGCAACATTCCTGCACCAGATTGGCTTGTTGGATGAGAAGCAGCAGAAGTTCTTCCAGAAGCAGAGCAACAAGTGCATAGAGCTCATCAGGGGTCAGAACTGGATAAAGGCCTTTGAAGTGAGTTCTGGGGCTATGGGTTGCCCTTAAGCAATGAAAACCATCTGAGGAGAAAGGGGTGGGGGTGCACCGCAGCACTCCGGCTTCTGTGAGAGTTCTCTGCTGTCTAAGATCGGGAGGCAAAGTGAGTGGGTACAGAATGAAGAAAAGGACTGTCTGTGATCCTCAGAGTTTATCTTGGCTGTGTTTTTAATTTGAGATCATCTTGGCATGTTTGTCTATGTCTTTTATTAACTGTTCTGATTTCTTTAAATGCTGGGGGCATCTAAAGACCTTCTGTAGCATATGGAAATCAGAATCAAGAAAACCTTGGAAGTGGATGCCTGAGTGTCAACAGATGCTCAGAAGCGTCTAGAAGGGCCGTGTCCACAAGCAGGGCTTCAGCTGGAGAAGTGACACTGTGTACAGCCAAAATCACATGCTCTCAAGTGCCAGGATCAAAGACTACAAAGTGTAGTGATGGGAAAGTTTTCCAAAGAGACATTGTTACTGTAAAAGTTAAACTTGAGAATCTGATGGTTTGAGCCTTTACCCTTTGTTTTGTTTAGTTTGGTTATTTATGATGTAAGACTATACTGCGTACTGAGCTGCAGGAACTTGGATGCCCCCCCCCATAGAGACAAAAGCCAAAGTAAGCAATCTTCCTTCCGTGCTAATGCCACGTATATTTTAGAACTGTCCAGTTTGGCAAATTCACTTCAATCTGCTTCTTATTAGATACACAAGCTGTAGCACTCTCTATATCTAAAGTCATCATGACTATCTAGACAGAAGTCTGATATTAATAATCTTCCAAATACTGCAGATCAGCCAGTTGTGACTAAAACGGGGTAAATAAACCTGAGCAGAAAAGGGGTAACTTAAAGTCATGCTCATTTCACAAGTACGGTATCAGGACACTACTGAAATCCCTCATGGAGGTGACCCTTGCTGTGAATTCTGCCAGCAGCAAGCTGTGCAGATGGATTGGGAGAGGAAAGCCTCAGCCCTGGGCCGGATGCTGGCCAGCTCTCCTTTCTGTGTCAGGACACCAGATGTGGCTGAAAAGTGTGCAGTCAGAATGCTTTCTGCAACTGTAAACACGAAGGAAGCAGGAACTTCTTGGAAGCGTACGAGATCATGCAAGTCTGATGGCAATAATAGTCATATTTTCAAGATAGGTTGTAGGGCACTTGCTGTGGTAATCAGAGAGGGGAAAAGAAAATAAACTTTAGAATTGAGAATTAATACCAAATTTTATGTGGCAGAGGACCAATTTGCAGGTGAGACATTTGCTGTGGTTTTGCAGAAGCATGCAGGGATTACTGTGTCTGCTGTAAGAACAGGTGGGAGGTCTGAAGGAGGAAGATAGCAAAGAGATGCTCATGGTACATGATGGAATGAAGGTAGGAAGAAAGCAAGGAAATGCCCAATATGGGACCCCAAGGCACCCACAGGGTCAGAGAAACTGTTGAAAAGCCCAGGTATTTTGTACAGTCAAAGATAGTAAGACTGTGACCCAGGAGTCTCTCCCAAACCAAATTCATTAGAAAACAAAACTTAAAATACTCCCCACCTCACAATTTTCAAAGGGTTAGGATATCTCTTCAATCATTTGGTCCAACATCGTGAATGATGAATTAAAGGTTTGTTTTTTCCAAAGTAAGTGGACAAAATAGTCCTTAGAACAAAAGTAAAAAGTGCTTTTAAAAATTCTGATATTGAAGGGGATACAAATGTCAAAATCTCAAGTCCAACTGATGCAGCCTATTTGCTGTTCTGATTCTTTAAGATGGTTCGGTTAATGAAAGAGCAGGAACATAGTTGAAGAGAAAGTTGGAGACAGACAGAGGATGCCATCCCACACGCACACTAATGGGGATGCTGGGCCCAGAGGACAGCAGTGAGTCACCAAAGGACACAAATAGGTTATGGTAGGCCTAGGCTGGAATGGGTCCCCCTGACTCCTAGCCCAGAATAGATACCTGTCCCAGGTACTCAGTGAAAATCCTGAGACATTTTCAAGATTCTGCAACAGCAAAATGACCAATACCTGGTCCCTTCTGTCTCCTGGAACATTCTCTATGGAACAAGTTTTGATTAGAAAGTGGATTTCAAAACTCTGGACTAAATTTTTCACATTATTTTTTTCGACAGCAAATTATTTTTAAGTCTATGTGAAAACAAATTTACTTTTATTTATTTTTATTATTTTCAGTGAAAATCCTGAGACATTTTCAAGATTCTGCAACAGCAAAATGACCAATACCTGGTCCCTTCTGTCTCCTGGAACATTCTCTATGGAACAAGTTTTGATTAGAAAGTGGATTTCAAAACTCTGGACTAAATTTTTCACATTATTTT